GCGAGGGGGCAGGCTGGTGTTTGGTTTTGTTTTGGTTTTTAACATATGTGTATATATTTTGTAAATGGGTGACAAACTGATCTAGATCTAGGTATATTCACAATGGATTCTTTTAAATAGCGGTAAGGATATGACCCAAAGCAACAGAAGACAGGTGGCCCTGCTTTTGCTCTGCTAGTACTTCAGTGAGCGTCTTCACTCGAGGCGATGAGATTAACCTTCACTTGGAGTGACTTGGGCAGACTCTGGCCTTGGGACAGCAAATGGTTAAAACCGCACTGTCGTTGGAATTGCACCATGGAAAATGCCAGACCCTCTGTGGTCGTGTGAGCTCCTTCCAGAAGGTCCTCGGCACTGTGGGGGCGTACCTGTCTTCTCTTGATTTGAGCTTTTAGCAGTGAATAATTTGTTAATCCTGACCACTTACTATTTACCCTGGTATCACATGTTTATGCACTGAAGGTTAAATATGTATTTTGATACATGTTTGTTTATTATGTATGTGCTGGTCTGTAAAATGAGATATATTCCTGTTTTGGTATGTATACTAGGTCCCCAAATGAACAGAAAGGCTTCTCTAGAGCCCTTGCACACTGTTGAGTAAATGCAGGTTTGTTGAGATTAGCTGACCCAAATAGATCCCTCTGGATCCAAAGAGCGATGATCAAGTAGCCACGCTGCATGGCTACCCTGACAGATTTGTCCCTAAAAACAAGAAGAGGTCCTCAGTAAGCATGTGCAGAGCACTGGAATTTCTGTGTTCAGCTGTTCTCTCTAACGTTGCCTTCACCCTTCCCAAAATGATGCGAAACCAGCATAGTTCAGAAGACAGGCTAGTGGCCTTAACGTTTTCAGTTTGAAGAAAAGGCTCTTTTAACAACTCTTAAATGCCTTTGCGTCCACAGAGTTTTCTTCCCCTTGCCTCCAGATTTCAAATCAAAACCAAATTTAAGGAAGTCTTCTGCGGACTGGAACTTGTACAGCCACATAATTAAACCCTAATAAAAACAAGGTTTCTGACAATAACACTGATGTAATCTAAACACTAATGCAAACAGTTGGTATATAGTACTAGTGTGGGGTCATGAAGATAGTGGGCCGTCAGTGAAGAGGTAGTTGGCTGCGTTCAGCTACGCAAGCATGTTGTACGGGTGGTGGTCTACACTTTTGATGTTTGGCAGCGTACTGAAAAAAGCAAGGTCGTTACTCTTTACAAATTCTGTAGTGTAGAGATTAGTCCCAGTTTACATTTTGCAAACGAACCACCACAGCCCTCTGACTTAATTCTTCGGTTGCGCTGTTCCAAAAACCATGTTCTTGCTTGGAGGAGGTGGAGGGGAAAAAACACACCTGCTCATATGTCCTCTGGCAGCTGGTGCTGTGGGCAACTGTTTTGTTCACTTGGGAGTGGGGTTTTTTTCCATTTCTTTCAAGCTTCTAATGCAAATACTTGCTTTGTTTTCCATGTAAAAATCCGTTGAGCAAAAATATACTCATGTACACTAACATTAGTAGACTGTATTCTCTGCAAGTACCTCACATGTCTTCTCCTGCCTTGTTCTTTGTAGTATACTTATTCATGTACTCTTAACATTCGTATGTAGTGTGCAACTGTAACGTCATGCTTATGAGTGGGGGTTGGCTGCCTCCGGCCGACATTCATCAGTTCAATAGCAGAACACTTTAGATAAGTTATTTTGCACTTTCTTATGTATAAAATTGGTAGAAACTTATATTTGCTTTGTATCATTTAAAGACTCCTTTTGTTTCAGTAAATGAACTGTGTATAAAATATTTATGCAGTTAAAACTGTTTTTAGAAAGTATTTTTAATTTCAGCAAGTTTGGTTACTTGTTGCATGACTATTAACACAGCTGACTTTTTGTGTCAGTGCAATGTATATTTTTTTGTCCTGTTATTAACTTGTAAGCCCTAGTTAAATGGCCATTTATTTGTACAGCATCAGGAGTAAATTGAAGATAACTGGCTAAGACTGGAGTGTGGAATTTTGTACTATATTGCAGAATCCAATATCTGTTTTTTGGTGGTTACGTAAAAGGCCTGACGATTTACTATCTAGTGTGCAATCTGTGATATCTGAATGTTCATTGTATATTTGTCTCCAATGCAAAAAGGTAGAGTAACACAATTACAACAATACATGATTAAATGCAATAGTTCAGGTACTGAAGTATTTTTTTCATTTCAAATAAATACCTGCTATTTACCACCAAAAAGCTGTTTTGCATTTGTTGGAAAGACGCAACACTTGCAGCTGAATAAATGTTTTTAACATGGGAGTGGTAACTACTGAGTAACATGTTTCTATATCATCACGAGGAGTAAATTTCTATTCCTTGTTATGGTTTTGCTTTCCGAACATGAGTACGGTCATCCACGATGATGCAATGTGAAATCATGTGTCTTTGTTTATTCTTTTTTGCTTCTTAAGTGTCATTGCAGAGTGTGAAGCCAGCAGAATTTGATAGCGTGTAGATGAATAGGCTGTACCAATATAGACAAAGCAGATAGAAAAGAATGATCTCAGTCGTGCTGGATAAGGACAGTAGAAGAGGAGGAAGTATCAAAATCCAATTTAAATCATCTTCCCCAAGGAGAGAATGACTGCTAGAGCAGAGCTTGACCTTATCTGGTGAGAAACACCCTAAGATCCACAAATGCTGAAATATTTTACTAATTCTTCAATCCACTTTTATACCCTTTTCTAAGCTGGTAATGCTAAAGAATGTGCGGTTTCATGGTGGCAGTTAATTACGTGCCAACACTGGTGGCTAACAGGTTTTTTATAACGAAAAACCAGGCTTTGATGCAGTTGGGCTTACCATGTTCCTTTGCTGATGAGCACCAGAATTGACATTGCATTCTTGGTATTTGACAGTATGATTTCTTTGGTTGTAAAAGAAGAGGAACTTCTACCAATGAACTTAACTGTCTATGCTTACTGTGTTTAACGTCTTCCGTGAACTCTTTGGGGTTTTTAATTATATTTAAGTGTGCTCTCAAACAGTAGTTATAGAAGCAATTTTCGTGGCCTTCCTAAGCCATATCTTGGTTATATAGCATCGGTAATGTCTGCTTTTCATAGGTTCAAGTATTTCTCGCTTGGGGATTTCCATATTTTAAATCTTTTTCATACACTAGAAAAAATGTTTTCTAACAGTTAGGGGGGAATGACCGTACTTCTCAGCATACCTGCAGACACTTGACAGCTGCAGCCCCGCGTGCTATTCTGCTGTCACAGAGCAGGTCATGAATGAACTTCATCAAAGCATTTTGAGCCAGTAAACCATGCTGACTGTGCGGTGTAGGGTCTGGCACCGCTGCCCACTCTTCGGGGGGAGAGATGCCCTCCTAACAGGAGCTCCAGGTCGGCCTGTGCCGCTGGACCGTTCAGCGTGCAGTATTTCAACCTCATTCTCCCCGCGGGCAAAAAAATGAGTTAGCCACCTTCTTTGATCTGTGCCCTTTTAAGTTAGCTAACTTTTGCTTAACTTGGTGAATGACACAAAGAACTCGCAATTAGTGTCACGTCCTGCCTACAGAGCGCACTGCGGTGCCTCCTCTGCACCGCTTGTGAAGTCTGATGGAGGGCATTCGCTCAGCTTTGGAAAGGTGAGCCAGCCTCACGGGGTGGTTTTGTGGCCCTCGTGTGCCCTCAGCACCCCAGTGTGCACATGCTCTTCCTCTCCAGCCTGTGGCGTGTCCAAAAACTCCCTTCCACAGGTCTCCGAGAAGCCTGCCTTGATGAAACAAACAAACAAAAATTTTAAAAAATTGCATTTTGAGTTTTCCCAGCGAGTTGTGGAGCCAGAGGGTGAGCGCCGCTGCCTCTGGCATGCCCCAGGCACACTGGAGAGTGGAGGTGCCAGGAGCAAGTGTGGGCGAGCGGCGGGGGCCATGGTTCTGACAGACCTTTTGATTGGGAAAGCACAGTCCCATCCCTGCCCCATGGAGCACAGGCTTTGGTGTTGACATTCAGACAGTGCAAAGTACAGTCCCTGTTGCAAATCAGGTGTTGGGAGAGTTGGTTTGGCTCCTTTCTGTCCAGACAAACAAAAGGGTGATTAATTAGGAAAGCCATAACCTTTTGTGAGTTTCCTGCACTAAACCTGGGTCTGGGAGAAGGAGGAACAGTGCCCTGTGACATTTGTGGCAGCTCAAATGTCCGTGTTGGAGCTATAAAATCCCCAACAGGCACCAGAAGGGCCAGCAGCCAGTTTTGGAGTGAAACAAAGCAGTCGGTGAGTGAGCAGGCAGCTCACTGCAAGCGCAGCGGCCTTTAGCTCCACCACAGCCCCCGCCAGGCAGAGGCACCTCCCGGGGCCCGGTGTTCAATTTAGCAGCTAAAACAAATGGCTGGGTCTTCCAATGCGTCTGTGGGGTGTGCCAGTTGTTCACAGAAGATCTGGAGCTGTATGGTTTTGCAGGGGAAGCGGGGGAAGCTGTTACGAACTAAAAAATGCAGCATTTCATTCTATGATGGTGCCATAGCCCAGTCCATTGTTACCGAATTTGTGGCCAGTTTGCTGTAACCAAATTGTCTTTCATCATGGTTGTGATGACTTCGACAGTTCAGAAAGGTGAGGTTTGGAGCCTGCTTTCTAGGCTCAAAGTGGTTTGTGCTGTATACCATTGTCAAAATGCATATGTAT